GGGCGGTCAAAGGGGCCGCGACGGGCGGTGAAATGGGCCGCGACGGGCGGCAGAGGGACCTCGACGGGCTGCAAAGGGGCCACGACGGGCGGCAATGGGGCCGCGTCGGGCGGCTAACAGGCCGCGTCGGGCGGCAAAGGGGGGCTGCTACGGGCGGCAAAGGGGCCGCGACGGGCAGCAAGGGGGGCCGTAACGGGCCAGGGACAGGCCGGCTGAGAAAGGGCCGGCTAGGGAAGGGCGGGTGACTGCGAAGGTAAGGCAGGCTTCGGGTAGGGCAGGAAAAAAAAAGTTCGTGGTGGGCCCTTAAAAAAACGTTCCCACGAGGGAACCTGCTCAGAATACCATGTTAGAATCAGGAACGGAAAATGAATGAACTAGAAAGCGGATGGGTACAAGTAGAAAACCTAGAAATGTTGTACCCTATAAGAACTACCCCACTACAGCCTAAACAGACTAGAGCATATAAGTTTGACAGATGCTTGCTGCCCCGGCACCATCCGCACTCGCCAACTCACGGCGGCGGAAGTCCTCTTGAAGGATCGCTCGCTTCACGTCTTCAAGCGAGAGGCGGGGCAAGTCATGATTGAGGTTGATGATGAGCGAGGACCATGAATCTTGGAGTAAGGCCAGCAACTTGGTCTTCTGTTGGAGCTCACTATAATTCGAATCAGCTCCCTCAAGCCGCGTCAACAAGTCGAAGAATTTCTGCACCCCTTCTTCAACCGCTTCGTCTTCTTCAATTCGTAGTGCCGCCATTTGCCATTCCAACACCACCGCTACCGCTGCTGTTGCAGGAGCGTGTACACCCTTGACAGCAGCCCATGCATTTGGTCCCTTCTCTGGTTCACGCTGGAATGGCTTGATGTGACGGATCTGGCTGCTCCCCAACGCTTGCCCAAGTAGGAGATAGCCTTGTGCGCTCTTCCGCACCCACCGGCTCTTCTCCGGGTCGTTCTCGGGGCGCTTCTCCGTTCCTTCCATCACCTCCAGCAGGTCATAGTGGTCAAATACATTCTCCATTCTGAAGGACCATTCAGCGAAGTTGTCGCCATTGAACTTGTCAAGCCCAACACCCTAGGCTCATCCCTAGGTGGACCAAGACTTGGTTGCACGGGCGCCATGGCTGAATCACGGGGTTGGCCTTGAGCTTGGGCTTCTCCACTGCCACCAGCACCTCTGCCACCCCTTTCCTCAGGTCCAGCCATTGTCGAAACTGCTTCAAGGGGCTCTGATACCACTTGTTATAGTCACAATAGGCTTGAATATGCCTAAAACAAAATATAGAGTGCACAGTCGGATTTCTGCACATCGGCTTCAAACGTTGATAGCGTTCTGTTCATGAAATATATATTATCTCATGCCCTCATACCATTCCATGCACACACGCATGCACGCACACGGACAACAAGCCGAATGCAAACCGTAGGGTTGCACCAATAGTTGGAGAGGTGCGAGACAAGGCTTGTGATCAAGGGCTTTTTGCAAAGGGAGGGAATTGACTTTCAACATATGTTTGTTCCTGATGCCCAGGCTCCCACGCTCCGGGTGTTGCTAGTAGCCGCTACTGTTTGTGGTTGGAAGGTGGAGCAAACGGATGTGAAGATGGCGTTTTTCTATGGCGTGGTAGATGAGACGATCTATATGAAGCAGTCAAAGGGGTGCAACAATGGGAGCGGACGTGTTTACAGGCTTGACAAGGCCATCTATGGTATCAAACAAGCTCCAAGGTGCTGGTATGCAAGGCTGGTGGGGATGTTGGAGGCTCTTGGCTTCAAAGTTAGCGGATGCAACAAGATTCTCTACGTCGATGACATCTTCCTCTTCTCTCCATCCCTGGAGCGGATCAAGGAGGTGCAAGGGAAGCTGAAGGAGACCTTTCAATGCAAGGCCCTTAGATTAGTGGGGTATGACCTTGGACTTTATATGGAGCGGGACGAGGTGAAGGGATGGTTGAGGCTTCACCAACACAAACCTTGATAGCATTCTGGTCACAGCTCCGAATGACCTTATTCAAATTGGATCTAGAGCGTCCTAACGTCGCCAATAGTAGGCAATTTAGATTGCATGATTTCATTAAGTATTAATGACGCAACGTTGGTTTGAACGAACGGCACTATGGCAGCCACTATAGACTTAGAACACAAATTTGGAATAGTTACGAGTTGCGAATGACTCCCAGCTCCTACAAACCCCAATAGCCGAGTTACAGTGATTTGGAACAGTGCCACACTGTCCCCAACCACGATGGGTCTCGAAACTACCCTCCACAAGGGCGTACACCAAGAGAAATGTTACACTACACAAAGTAATATAACTATTCTCACTATCTTGAAGTTTATCCTTTTGGAGAGCTTCGAAATCACTTGAATCTTGAAATCAAGGCTCTGGTTCTTCAAGATCAATTCTTCCTTGAGTTCTTGGAAGTCTGCTGCGCACACTGTTGGTCCAACCCTACGATTTGCACTCGGCTTGTTGTCCGTGTGCGTGCATGCGTGTGTGCATGGAATGGTATGAGGGCATGAAATAATATATATTTGGTGCTTACAATAGTGAGTGAATGATGAGGAATGATTTTGAATGTGTGTGTCGAGTCAATAGCGAGTTATCGCTAGTCGCGTGTCACGTCGTCGATTGAATGTCGTGTGCGGTTTTCTATTATGTCGTGTGTGGAACGTTCGGCGAGTCGCAGGTGTGTGCAGCAGACTTCCAAGAACTCAAGGAAGAATTTATCTTGAAGAACCAGAGCCTTGGTTTCAAGAATCAAGTGATTTCGAAGCTCTCCAAAAGGGTAAACTTCTAGTGAGAATAGTTATATTACTTTGTGTAGTGTAACATTTCTCTTGGTGTAGGCCCTTGTGGAGGGTAGTTTCGAGACCCTTCGTGGTTGAGAACAGTGTGGCACTGTTTCACATCACTGTACCTCTGCTTTTGGGGTTTGTAGGAGCTGGGAGTCATTCCTAACTCGTAACTCTTCCTAATTTGTGTTCTAAGTCTATAGTGGCTGCCATAGTGCCGTTCGTTCAAACCAACGTTGCGTCGTCAATTCTTAATGAAATCGTGCGATCTAAACTGCCAAGTGTAGGCGAAGTCAAGACGCTTCAGATAAAAATTGAATCAAGTCATTTGCAGCTGTGACCAAAACGCTATCAACGTTTGAAGCCGCTGTGCAGATATCCGACTGTGCACTCAATATTTCGTTTTTAGGCACGTTCAAGCCTATTGTGACTATAACACACACCTGCGATCCGCCGAACGTTCCACACACGAGAAAAATGAAAACCGCACACGACACGCAAACGACGACGTGACACGCGACTAGCGATAACTCGCTATTGACTCAACAGACACATTAAAAAAACGTGCTTCATCATTCACACACTATAGTAAGCATGAAATATATATTATCTCATGCTCTCATACCATTCCATGCACACACGCATGCACGCACACGGACAACAAGCCGAGTGCAAACCGTAGGTTTGCACCAACAGTACCTTCACCTTGAGCAGCAGAAATGGACCAAGGCCTGGATATGGGAGGTGTTGGTTTCTGATGAGGCTCGCAAGCGTGATGCTGACAGAGGAGTTGAAGGGGGAATGGGGGCAGGTGATAGGGCTGCTTCCAAGAAGTACCAGCAGCAGCATGGAGGTGGGGGGAAGAAGAAGGAGCTCGACAAGTGCCTCGTCCCTGGATGCAACCGGAAGCACTCGTGGAAGGAGTGTTGGAGCCGGCCAGATGGGTGGAAGCCTCAAGGCTACCCAGGAGAGGCTCCACCTGTCACTAGGCCTGAGTGGGTGGAGAAGAGGATGAAGAATGGAGCCTGGAACAAGAAGGGCAGCAAAGGAAAATCGGCGGCAGCAGTGGCGAATGATGGTGGGAAGGGAAAGGAGGAGTCGTCGGACGACGGTTTCTCCTTCCTTACGTTGGAGAAGGGGACGGCGCTTGCTGGTCGTGTGTTGGCTGACCCCGATTACCTCGTTCTAGACTCTGGTGCAACTTGTGGAATGATACCACAGCGTGACCTCTTCACCACCTATCACTCCCTCTCACCTAACTCAAGAAATGTCATCGTTGGGAGAGGAGATACGCTGCAAGAAATCGGCATCGTCACCATCACCATCAAGGGCAAGGGGTGGAAGGTGTTACATGTGAAGGGTGTGCTTCATGTTCCTGGATTGGCAGCCAACCTTCTCTCATGATCTCAGCTCGCTAGGCAAGACTACATATGCACCTTCACCATTGGAGGGTGCACGATTCGCAAGGGTGGAGCTGTGGTGATGGAGGCCAAGTTAGAGAAGGGTTTATACCTTGTTCCAGTGTGTGTGCCTCATGTGGACAAGGCACATGGAGTTGAAGCCGAGGATGCCGCTTGCAGCACCCGTTGGAAGGATGTGGAGCAGGTGACGACAGATTTGCTGCACCTACGCATGGGGCATGCCGGAACGCAACAACTTATGGGGTGTGTGAAAAAGGGGAAGCTGAAGGGTATGGATATCAAGGAGATCAACTCCCTAGAGAACTTCCTTCTCATCCTCCTCGTCCCCTTCTACCTGGTTCTTGCTACTCTAGCTTTCTTGTGTGAACTTGTGAGATAATTGTGATTGAGTTAAGTTTCTATGGCAGCATACCCCCTAGTGCGCCGAAATTCATAACTCAAGTTATACTGTATATTGAGACAGATAGCCACAGTTAAGGGCTACAATATACTTGAGTTTTAGAACTTCCGTCGACGACGTTTCTTGTGATGATGAATGTTCTGTCCATAATTATCGTTGACGATTTTGAGATATTTCGGCCCCTAATCTTCATAGACTCCGTCCTTAGTCTCTAAGAGAGGGTATGGCCATGGAAGGGACAGAGGATGAGGGGGAGGCAGATTTGGCAGCAATAACTTCAACGGAGGCCGCGGGAGTGGCGGATACGGCAGCGACAACAAGAGCTACGGACGCGGTCGCGGCCGATTCGATGGCGAGTGCCACTAATCTCACAAGAGCGGACATATGTGGCGCGATTGCTTCAAGCTCCCTGTTGGATGGACCCCTTCTCAAGGCCAAGAGGGTAGAGGAGCAGGAGGAGGGAGAGGAAGAGGCTGTGGAGGCCGTGGCGGTCGCGGAGGTGGTGCTGCAAATATGAAGAACGGTGACAACGAGAGCGAGTCGAGGGACGATCGCTCTCCGGGTCAATTCTTCTTCGTATCAATGCAAGCACCGGCTGCACCAGAGAAGGATGAAAGCTTTGAGGAGCCTGCTGCTGTGGGGAAGGTAACCCTACACTCCCTTGACTATTGGGTGTTTGATAGCGGCGCTACCTAGAGCATGACACCTCGTGCGGACTTGCTCACCGAACTTGAACCGTCACCGGTGAAGCATGTCACATCGGCTTTGGAGCAGCGAGCAGAGGTAAAAGGCATGGGCAAGGCCATGTTCAAGGGTGCTGATGGGAAGATGGTGGGCCTCAAGAACGTGCTTTGGGTTCCCAACCTTGCTGCGACAAGATTTCCATGCGGCGGTTGCAAAAGGCCGGCATGGACACGAGCTCGAAGGGAGCTAAGACCTATACCGCGAGGCTTGGCAAGCAGATTCTTTGGGACCTTCATGAGGATATCGATGTCTACAACGAGATGTGGTAGATCCATGTGGTCCCCATGCCTAAGGAGAGGCAAGTGGCAGCAAGCATCAGCACCAAGGGTGAAGCAGTTGGTAGCGGCGATGGCGCGAACGGTCGCGCTAAGGAGATTGAGTCCAAGAAGTGCAATCTTGGAGAAACTAGCAAGCTCGGTGAACACGAGGAGAGTGGTGCAGCAGCCAAGAAGCAGCACAAGGATGAGGAGAACCCCATGGCAACAGCGGGGGAGGACTACGGAGAGAGCATGTGTGCCACTATTGCGAGTGCGGCATTCTCCAATCGGACTTCGGCTACAGGGGAGTGTGATTGGTTGACCTTGCATCGGCGCATGGGGCAGGTGGCCCTTCCCATCTTGCAGCAGCTAGTGAAGAATGAGATGGCTGCTTGCATACATGTGAAGGGGGAGCCGATGAGGTACTTGGCTGCCCGACGTGCATGCAAGCCAAGTTCACCCATTTCCCGTTCTCTAGTTCGGAGGCAACGGCTAAGGCACCACTTGATGAGGTGGTGATGGACGTGGTGGGCCCCTTGAAGCTTGGAACTGCTGGAGCAGAGTACTTCCTCACCATTGTGGATGTCTACACGCGTATGACCTGGGTGTACATGCTGTCCAAGAAGAGCGACGTGGCTGAAACGGTGAAGACCGATTGGTTGCCGATGGTGGAGCGGCAACAAGACCGGCTAGTCAAGTCAATCCGCACCGATCGAGAGGGAGAGTTCTTGAGCAAGGAGTTTGGATTGTGGCTGAAGAAGAATGGCATAAGGCACTCCCTTACCATGCCATACTCCCCTGCAATGAACGGCATCGCCGAGCGAGCGAACCGCACAATCACGGAGACGGCACGCGGGTTGCTCATTGAAGCCTGGCTACCCGACTATTTCTGGCCTGATGCGGTGCGGAGTGCGTGTGTGGCCAAGAACAGAGCTTTGACTCATGCGGGAGCAGACAAATGGGTGCCCTATGTGGAGTGGATTGGAAGGAAGCCAAAGGTGGATATGCTTTGGGTGTTCGGGTGCATGTGCATGGCGCTCGTGCCCAAGCATCTTCGGCACAAAAAGCTCGGTGCCAAGGCGATATGGGCTGTGCACTTGGGCATGGCTCAAAACAGCAAGGGGTGGCTTCTTTGGGACCCATTCACCAAGAAATTCTTGGTGGGCAGGGACTGCAAATTCACGGAGAATCTGATGTACAAGGATTGGAAGGCGGAGAATGAGGCGAAGATAGGCATGCGGTTTGGGGAGGTGAAGAGTTCCGGTTTGGAGCATGTGGAGCTGCCCTTGAAGCTGCCCTTGGAGCTGAGCAGCGGCAGCACCGCCACAAGGCAATCTTCTCTTGTGAATAGGGGAGAGGAGGCCAAGGATGCAGAGGAAGAAGAGGAGGAGGTGCAGCAAGTGAGCGAGCATGCAACAACACTTCCTTCTCGCACTACGAGTGCTCCACGGATCCGAGTCACCTCGCGGCAATTATGGCTGGAGATGACGAGGAAAGTGAGTAGGAGGAGTTTGCTTTCGCGTTCTTCTCTCCGGTGGAGATGCCGGGGGAACCAGCAACTCTCAAGGAGGCCTTGGAGAGTAGTGATGCTGAGGAGTGGAAGAAGGCAATGGAGAGTGAGCTGGACAGCATTGAGGAGAACGGCACATGGGAATTGGTGGAGTAACCAGAGGGGCGTGAGGCGACTACGTCCAAGTGCCTCTTCAAGATCAAGTCCGACGCCGACGGCAAACTCGAGCGCTACAAGTCTAAGCTTGTGGCCAAGGGGTACCAGCAGAAGGAGAAGGTGGACTACAAGGAATTGTTTGCTCTTGTGGTGAAGCCGACAACGCTGCGAACCCTACTTGCGGGAGCTACCATCAAAGGGTGGGTGGTGAAACAAATAGATGTGACAACGGCATTCCTCAATGGCGTTCTTGAGGAAGAGATTTTTATGGTGCTGCCAGAGGGGTTTGATGATGGTAGTGGCAGAGTGTGGAAGCTGAAGAAGGTGCTCTATGGGCTCAAGCAAGCCCCTAGGCAGCGGTACTTGAAGCTGCGTGAAGTCTTGGAGGAGATCGGGTTCACTCACTCATCCGCTGATCATTCCTTGTTCATGCACGGCGAGGGGGAGAAGAGGAGTTTCAAGATGGTTTATGTGGATGAGATCCTCATTTTATGTGGAAGAACTTGGAGGCCTTGGCTGTCAACTTTGGGCAGATTGAAGGCCATGTGGCCACTGCATTCCCTTCTCCGATTAAGTGTGTGAAGGGACCAGATGAGGAGAGTGTTGGCGAAGAGGAGAGGCGCCGTTTTCACTTGTTGGTGGGCGACCTCATGTACGCGGCGGTAAACACCCAACCGGACGTGGCCTTTGCAACCGAACAGTTAGCTAGGGCTGTTCAATGCCCTAATGAGGAGCAGGTAGCAGTTCGAATGAGGGTGGCCAAGTATCTTGGCTAAACACCGACCGTTACTCGGCGGCGGCGCAAAGGCGCCAAAAGGGCGCGGATGGTGTTGAACCCGGGCGTTTGTTCCTCACAGCATTCTCTGATGCTTCTTATGCATCGGAACCAGAGGACATGACAAGTGTTGGAGGGTTCATTTGCTGTGTTGGTGGAGGCCCAACTGCTTGGGAGAGCAAGAAGCAGGTGGTCTTAGCATTGAGCACGGTGGAGTCCGAGTACATGGCACTCTTCTGTGTCATACGGGAGATTGTGTGGAAGCGGCGTTTGTTGGCTGAATTGGGGGAGGAGAAGCAAGGACCTACCCCACTGTACTGTGACAGCCAGGGTGCCATTGCTCTTAATAAGAACCCTGTATTGCATGGCCTCACGAAGCACGTGAGGGTGAAGTGGCATTGGACGAGGAGCATTGTGGCGGTGGGTGAAGTTGAGTTGCGCTACGTGAAGACGACGGGGCAGCCAGCTGACATGATGACCAAGAGTCTGGTTGAGCAGCAGCATTCGAAGTGTTGCAAGCTGGTTGGGATGGCTCTGAGCTGAGAGAACCAGATCCTAAGGCCAACAATCCGAAGGGGAGTTTGTTGGTGCAACCCTACGGTTTGCATTCAGCTTGTTGTCCATGTGCGTGCATGGGTGTGTGCATGGAATGGTATGAGAGCATGAGATAAAATATATTTCATGCTTAGAATAGTGTGTGAATGATGAGGCATGATTTTTAATGTGTGTGTTGAGTCAGTAGCGAGTTATCGCTAGTCGCGTGTCACGTAGTCGTTTGCGTGTCGTGTGCGGTTTTCTATTTTGTCCTGTGTGGAACGTTCGGCGTGTTGCAGGTGTGCGCAGCAGACTTCCAAGAATTCAAGGAATAATGTTTCTAAAAGAACCAGAGCCTTGGTTTCAAGATTCAGGTTATTTCGAAACTGCTTTACAAGGGTAAACTTCAAGATAGTGGGAATAGTTACATTACAATGTCTAGTGTAACATTTCTCTTGGTGTAGGCCCTTGTGGAGGGTAGTTTCGAGACCCTTCATGGTTGGGGACAGTGTGACACTGTTCCACAACACTGAACATTGGTTCTTGGGGTTTGTAGAGGCTGGGATTCATACCCAACTCGTACCTCTTCCTAATTTGTGTTCTAGGTCTATAGTGGCTGCCATAGTGCCGTTCGTTCAAACCAGCGTTGCGTCATCAATGCTTAAGGAAATCGTGCAATAAAAAATTCCTAGTGTAGGGGACAATACTACGCTCTAGGTCATTTGGAGCTGTGACCAGAACGGTATAAACGTTTGAAGTTGTTGTGCAGAAATCCGACTATGCACTCTATTATTAGAGAGTAGCGAGAATGACGAGAATGATGATTAGGAAAGAAGGGGGGGGTACAAGTAGAATGTCGAGAAGAATTGTGTACCCCCTAAAGCTAGCCCCCATACAGCCTAGATGCAACTAAGCCTAGATACAGGTAAGCATATATGTTTGACACACCCCCATAGGCGAAGTGGGGGGTAGCAAGAGCAAGCAATGGTCACAAGACCAGTCAAGAGAAGAAGCAAAGCAAAGCAAGCTCAGGGTGGATCACAAAGTCACCACACAGTCCGAGCACAAGCAAAGGGCCACAAGGCCAGTTCACATGCAGAGTTATATAAAGAGAACAAACAATACAATGATCATACCCTAACAAGTGCAAGCATGCAGGTATATAGATAGATCACAGTACAGGCAGAGTCAGGCAGTAAGTAAGTGAGGCAAAGTAGGCACAAGGCCTAACACAGTAACAAAGCGCTGATGATCACCAGGCGGAAGTGCCTTGGTGAAGACATCAGCAGTGTTGGCCCGAGTGGCCACGTACGCTAGACGAAGCTGACCATGCTGCTGCAACTCTCGAGCAAGGAAGTATCGCAGAGCGATGTGCTTCGTTCTGTGCTCCGGTATGTGCTCTTGACACAAGGCTATTATGGCCTTGTTGTCTACGTACAGGACTGGAGGCGAACGAGACTGCTCTCCCAAGTCGGTCAGCAAGTAGGTGAGCCAGCGTAGCTCCTAAGCAGCCATGGCTCCGGCGTAGATCTCAGCCTCACAGCTGGAGCTGAGAACTGAAGACGAGCGGGTAGACCGCCAAGAAACCGAGCCGGACCGAAGGCTGAAGGTGTAACCCTGCGACGACCGCTGCGTAGCTGAGTCGTCAACCCAGGAAGCGTCTGCGTGACCAGTGAGGACAACTGGACCCCGTCCTACAAGCACAAGCCCCATGCCCGACGTACTGCACAGGTAACGCAGTACCCTCTTCGCAGCATCCCAGTGCACCTTTCGGTGCCTACCGGGAGCCACGTAGCGAGCCAGAAGGCTGAGAGGGTACGCGAGGTCAGGTCGAGTGCACGTCATCAGGTACATGAGGCAACCCACAAGCTCTGGGTACGGACCACTCAGCTCTACGGACTCGTCCGAAGGTGGAGCTGAGAGCGAGTGGCTGGTAGACAGAGGAGTGAGCTGTGGCGAGGAGTACTGGAAGCCGAAGCGCTGAAGGACCTGGTGCACCATGTGTGACTGAGTCAGTGTGATGGTGCGCCGTGCTCTGTCCCGGGTGATCTGCAGGCCAAGATAGCTGCGCAGTTCACCCAGGTCAGTGCAGGTATGTCTCTTCTACAGCTCGGACTTCACAAGGGTAAGTGCCTCAGTGTCAGCCATGGCAAAGACAAGGTCGTCGACGTACACTAGGATGTAGAAGGGCGGCAGCGAGGTGTCGGTGCGTAGAAACAGCGACGGGTCTGCTGTAGAAGGAACAAACCCAAGAGCCACAAGTGTAGTCCTGAGTGTGTTGTGCGACTCGCGAGGCGCCTGGCGGAGACCGTAGACTGGCCGGCGGAGGCTCCACAGGGTACCTGCAGGAAACGACCCAGTGAAACCAGGTGGTCGGCGCAGCCAGATCTCCTCGTGCAAGCTGCCCTACAGGAAGGCTGTACTGAAGTCCAGAGAGTGTAACTCGTAGTCACGCTGAGCAGCAACGTGCAGCAACACCCGAAGAGTAGTCATCTTCAGGGTGGGGGAGAGGGTCTAGAAGTAGTCAACTCCCTGTCGCTGACTGAAACCTCGAGCAACGTAGCGCGCCTTGAAGATCCACATGCCATCGACTATGTTCACCCCAGGTGGGGGAACCTCGTCGACGTAAGTGCCTGTGGACTTCCAGGGTGCCATCTCGGCATCCATAGCTGCCTGCCACTGAGAGGAGTAAGGACCCGTAATCGCCTCTGCGTAAGACCGCGGGGTCGGGATGCCTGGTGCATCCGGGTCTCCCTCAGGGGCAAGCAGCAAGGAAGCGAAACGAGGTACAGCAGCTGCAAGACACTCAAAGTCCTCCTGCCTGTCCTCAAGGACGTCCGTGCCAAGAGCACACTCACCCCCGACGGACGGAGGACTGGCAGACACAGACTCAGCAACTAGAGAAGAGGCGTAGTCGAGACGGCAGGCAGCAGCAAAGTCAAACAGCTCAGCAACGAGAGCAGAAGCAGTAGCAGCAGACTCAAAGGACAGGTCAGTGACAACAGTTGCAAGGAGACGAGCGACAGTGGGACTGGCAGCACGCGCTCAGTCAGACTCAGGGTCAGGGACCTCAGGAAGAGAGGACTCAGGAGGAGTAGGCAGAGGAACACGCAGTGGAACAGAGGAAGGACGGAGTGCCATGGTGTGCGTGCCTGGGACAGGAGGAGGACGCAAACGAGGAGCGCGACGAGCAGTGCGAACAGGCGAGAAAGGACGAGACGCAGGCTCACGATGCTCTGTAAGACCTCCAGCCTGCTCAGTGTAAGGAGAGGGAACAGGCAGTGGGGAGGCTGGCTGTAACGGCAGCTGCGACTGGTCAGGCGGTGGACACAGGAAGGGAGGAGGAAGACCAGTAGAAGACGGGACACCAAGAACCTGATGAAGCAAGGGAACAAAGTACGGGCGCGGCCGCACAGTGCCTCCAGCACCTCCAGCTCCAGGGTCAACAGCTCCAGCTCCTGCAGCTCCAGCGCCTCCTGCGCCAGGGCCTCCAACTCCAGCTACACCAGCTCCAGCGCCTCCGGCGCCA